ACCGGCTGTGAAGTAGTTGAAAAATGCAACAACGGGGTTAGCAAGTAAATGTGGGGTAGATAAGATAGGAGAGAACTTAAGGGACTTTACAAGTGGGGTGGTAGTTAGGCAGAGTTAAAAGCTTGACGTCCTAAAAAGGCAGAGTTAAAAGCTTGTGGTCCTAAAAAGGCAGAGAAAAGTTTCAACACGACAAAAGTTTTAGTATCCCTCACAACAACATACATTAATCCATCACAACAACATACATTAATCCATCACAACAACATACATTAATCCATCAAATATCTAGTCACTTCATGTAGTTGTATCATCAATCAGCCTTATGTGTCATGTATCATAATTTAATTAATTATTTTAATATTTTATTAATATAGAGTATTCATTTAATATTTATTTTAGAATTTAAATATTTATTTAAGATAACAAATTTAAATCAGTTTGAGGAAAGTTGGGAAGTTGAAGTGTTTGTACCATGGATGTAAATTTGGTCCGAATTTAATGGGTTTGACCCAATTGATCGGATTATTTTTATTTTCCAAAAAAAAATTAGATTCAAGCCGGATTATGTTAGAGTAAGTGTTTTTTAGAATGAAATCATATCAGATCGAATTTGGATTTATGAAGAAAATAAAATTATTCATTATATATTTATTAATAATTACAATAATAATCACCTCTATATTATTTTTTAATTCAATCATTATTTTACTTAATAAGAATAAAATTATATATATTTATAACGGTTAGATCGAAACGAATTTTTACCTTAAAAGTCAGTTAAAGTTTATATCGAATAAAATTTTTCATAAATTCGATTCAAATTTAATACGTATAAAAATTTAATTTTTGAATTAAATTAAGCTAAAAACCTCACACATGACACCCTAATTGAAACAGCTGAACATCTAATGTTATCTTGAGATGAGTTGTGAACTTTTAGGAGTCTGCCATTCTTTGGTTCAATGGCGGCTGGGTTTGATATAATTCCACCCATCACCCTTATTTTTCAATCATTTGGTTTTGGTATCTGAAAAATTATTCATAGTAACATTTTAGAAAACGCTTAGATTGTTTGAGGGCAAAATCCACATCTTCCAGCTGACGGTGCCTATTTAAGCAAACAAGAGACCCCAATATTTGTCGTATCTTAACGATAAGTTACACACGGTTGAAATTTGAGTGAGTACCCATCACTGCAAACGTTTCGTTTAGTTCATTTGCAGTGCAAGTTTTCACCGGAAAGCGCGGCTATGGCGGCTGACATTGTTCCACTTCTCAACGACGGTGACGACAATGATAGCAAGCAAAGAGGAACGTTTGTTTACATGGTTAAGGAGTTCGGATACGAGTCGAAGAGATTATGGCATATTGCCGGGCCGGCAATTTTCACAGCAATTTGTCAGTATTCATTGGGAGCCCTCACCCAGACTTTTACTGGCCAACTTACCGAACTAGACCTTGCTGCAGTATCTGTCGATAACTCTGTTATAGCTGGGCTTGGTTTCGGTGTTATGGTACGTCGCTTTGATTTTAGTAGAAATGTTGATTGGTTTGTAGAAATGATTGGTCTTATTTGATTTGATTTTGTCACAGTTGGGAATGGGGAGCGCATTGGAGACTTTATGTGGTCAAGCATATGGTGCTGGGCGGCTAAGGATGCTGGGCGTTTACATGCAGAGATCTTGGGTCATTCTATTGATTACATCATGTTTAATCTCTCCCATTTACATTTGGTCTCCTCCAATTCTTGAACTGTTTGGGGAAACCACTGAAATCTCCGATGCTGCAGGTTGGGGAATGAATGAAATTTGACTGAAAATCAGGTTACAAATTGATGACATTAAGCTTGTTTGATGCAGGTAAGTTTGCTCTATGGATGATGCCACAGTTATTTGCTTATGCTATGAACTTCCCTATACAAAAGTTCTTACAAACTCAGCGCAAAGTTATGGTGATGGCTTTGGTCTCAGCACTGGTGTTGGTCCTTGCCTTTTTCAGCTGGCTGCTGATACTTAAGCTCGATTGGGGCTTGATCGGTGCGGCTGTAACTTTGAACGTATCGTGGTGGCTGATAGTTATTGGACAGTTGCTGTACATTTTTATTACCAAGTCGGATGGTGCTTGGTCTGGTTTCTCATGGTTAGCATTTGCGGATCTATTTGGTTTTGTCAAGCTTTCTTTGGCTTCTGCTATTATGTTATGGCATGTTTCTTTTTTCCTTCTCTCCCCGTCACTTTATGTTCATATTAGTCGTATATAAGGTTTTGATGTTTACAAATTACAACAGTTGTTGAAAATGTGGTGCAGCTTGGAGTTTTGGTATTTAATGGTGCTGATAGTCATAACAGGTCTCCTGCCAAACCCTCTGATAGCAGTTGATGCCATTTCCATTTGGTAGGTGTTCCATTATCTCTCTTTACTAAACGGTTTAACCCGCTGTAATTTGGAATATGAAATCGAAAAAAAAATGGAACAGAGTAAGTTAAAAGTGTTATTAGCAGCGGTAGAAATTACCTTTTTCTCAACTTTCATTTTATCCTATTTCCAGCATGAACATAAATGGATGGGATGCAATGATTGCACTTGGGTTCAATGCAGCTATAAGGTGCATTTCTCTTCATTTCCTGTTTCTTCCTGGAAGCAGAACTTGTTTAAATATGAACTCTTATAATTGAACTGAGAACTTAACAGATTATTATGTTGTTAACAGTGTGAGAGTATCAAATGAACTTCCCGTACCTCTTCACCAGCAGTAATGCAGTTGCCGAAGAAACTAAGCTAGCTCTATTGTTGGGATTTATTGTCCTCTTAAACAGCCTCCAACCGGTCTTATCCGGTGAGTTACCTGCTGCGTTTTATATCTGTGTTCAACGGATATTCAATCACACAGAAGATTCTCTGAATACATCTATGCTTGACATTCGTGACAGTTTGATTCGTTTTCAGGTGTTGCTGTTGGAGCTGGATGGCAATCTCTTGTGGCGTACATAAACATAGGGTGTTATTATATATTTGGATTACCTGCTGGCATACTCCTTGGGTTTGGGGTTATGGTAAATTATCTAGTGTTTTAGGAGGATAAAATTATTTTTTTCAATCAGAAACAAAATCTTATTTCGAGAATATAATAGAATTGGAGATCATATCTTTATAATTTACTTGTGAAATGATGCAGGGCATTTGGTCAGGCATGATTGCGGGTATTGTTCTGCAAACTCTAATCTTGGTCTTGGTGGTTGCACTTACCAACTGGAACAAGGAGGCAAGTATCCCTGCCAATATCCTGATTGTTTATGTAGTTATATTGTATTTTATTTAATATATGTATATGTGTATATATATATATATATTTAATTGATGTTATATAATAATTCTACCACATTTATATTTTCGTATCATATGATTATGATAATGTCTTTTAGTCCTTTGATCCAACATAAGTCTCCTCTATTTAATACTGATTTATTGAATTCAAAGCGATGCTATAATCCTGATAATTCTCATACGCAGGCTGAAGAAGCTGAAAGCCGTATAAAAAGATGGGGAGGATCAACCGGTGGAGAGCATTGATTTTACATAATTATTTTATTATAATGTATTAATTCAAATAATCACTATTATCGATTGATCTATCATATGAAACGTATTTTCTACCTACTTGATAAAAAATATTAAATTGAGAAATAAATTTTAATAGATATTAGAATAATAAATTATTTTAAATGAATTATATTTGGATAAAAACGTCTTTGATCTTATTTGCTTAAATTAGGGTTTTTTTTCTAAAAAGTAAAAGCGATTATATATTTATATTGGGTTCAAATTTCCCTCAATTTATTTTCATCCATGATTAATAAATATTTATTATTATTTATAAATATAATGTATTCAATATTTGAATTATACATACTTTTTTAGTCCAATTAACAATTGACTTATTTTTTTGAGTAAATTAATATATGAACTTAATTTATTGATTCAACCTGATGGAAAATTTATAAATATTAATTTTGAACTAATACGTCAATTTAAGATGCTAATTTTAATAGAAAAACTAAATCTAAATATCAGAATAAATCTTGAAGCCGAGTTGAAGTGTCAAATTATATATCAGAATAAAATAGAATTTAAGAGAAAATATATTAAAAAATGGGTGGATAAAATAGATTAAAATGAGATAAGAGAATGAAGTACCACATATGTTACATAAAACGTTCACATTTACGAGTTATCAACAAAGCAGCGGTCCACCAATCAATTTGAAATGTTGCCCACATGGACAGCAAGGTTGATGTGAAGTACTGACATGGACAGCAAGCTTGATGTGAAGTACTGACTTTTTCTTGATTTTTTTTCTTCATTTCAGATTACATTTCTAAAAGAATTTTGGTGCACATTGCATGATCCTTCTCCAACGCTAATGGCTGAATTTTTGGGGTGCTACTTGCAAATTTATTTTTCAATCCTTAAAATAGAATTAACTTTTCTCCACATGTAATAAACTCTGGGATCTGTTTTCTCTAGTAAGTAGACCGACTTTGTTATTTTAATTTTATTAAATTAACAAATTTTTGGGTGAAACATTCACTTTAAAAGAGGATTTGTCTCTCTTTTTAAGACGTTTTGTCATGATTATTGTTCTTCTAATCCATGAAAATAGGTAAAAACAAACCACATTGAATCTTATCTCTGATATATGTGTTGGTTTAAATTGATCTTATTATGTCTTGTTTTTCGCTCACACATTCTTTAATGGAAACCATTAGAGATCTTCTCCCTTCCATGTAAAGGAAGAGCATGTGTGTGATCCACATAAACATAATCTTGTTTTTATGGTTCTATTTAAAAGTAAGAGCTGTAATAGACAATTTTCAGCCCCATATTTCAACATATTTGGACTTTATTCAATCAGTGGCCAGCCTGTTTTTGACTTCCGTCATGTGTACAGAAGTGGTTGGTGATTCTTTTCAGGACCATATTATCGTTGATGTCTTTCTTCCTTCCTTTTATGGCCTGTTAATGAAGTCGGAGAGAAGAACTAAACTTTCCGAAAATGGATTTTTAATAAGAAATATATAAAGAAATCTAAAATATGTCGCACTTATAAATTTTTAGAAGGGCGGCTTGAAAAGGCTAATAGCAAGGAGAAGGAAGGCGTGGAGTTATGAGAAGTTGAAGGGGAGTGGCTTTCAAGTTCGTCATTCCAAGGCTTTCACTCATATCAACTGCTTCGTCCAATGGCGTCTTCAACTCGAATCCTTGTACCACACTAGCCAGTACGAATTCCAATACTTGAACCGCAAACGAAACTCCGGGGCACATTCTTCGACCACTCCCGAATGGAATCAGCTCGAAGTTCTTGCCTCTAAAATCAAAATCTTTGTGGGTTGATAGGAACCTTTGGGGCCGAAATTCACAAGGATCTGACCACACTCGTGGGTCGCGATGAATTTTAGAAATATTGATGAACAATCGGGTTCCAGCGGGAATGTGGTAGCCACTAACCGTGCAGTCTTCCATGGATTCATGGGGCACCCCAAGTGGTCCGGCGGGATATAAACGCAGTGTTTCTTTTATGATTGCTTTAAGATAGACTAACTTCTGAATGTCTGATTCTTGGACCAGTCTGTCTTTTCCGACATGAATGTCTAGCTCTTGCCGTAACTTCCTCAGTTCATCCTTGTTGTTGAGTAGTAAAGACATAGCCCATGTCAGTGCCACCATTGTTGTATCTGAAGCTGCTAAGGTCAGACCCTGCGATATTAACGAAATCCATATCAGAAATAGTTGAAAATGTTTCATAATTCTTGTAACTATAATTAATATACGAACCAGGCAGGTGGCTTTGTTGATGGTATCGGCATCATGTTTCTCAGTCTCAATTCCCATTGAAAGCATAACATCCATGAAATCTTCGTTGGATGTAAGAGTTGATGATCTCTTTCGCTTGTGATCTTGTAACCATCCCTGGGCTACTTGGTCTAGTTCTTTTCTTACTTTCATGATCAGCCTCTCGTCTCCCCCGATATCCAACCATCTTAAATATGGCAGCGCATCTGATATCCCAAATTTCCCACTCAGTTCAAAGAACTCCTGCAACGCTTTCTTCCATGTCTCACTCTCTGCATCATTTCCCGAAATCGGAATCCGTTGCCCTACTATCATCCTCAGAATCACGTTAAGAGTTGTATTCTCAAACCATTTCTTCATATCCACTAAAACGTTGTATGCTCCATCTTTCTTCTCGTCCCATAGCTGATATAACTCTTTCAGCGAGGTTTTGATCTCGGATTCTCGGACATGTCTGAGTCGTTCGAGGCGGTAGTTGGAGAGGAGCTCAATAGTGGAGATTTTGCGCAGTTGACGCCATTCATTTCCGTATGGGGCGAACCCAAACATGGCGTGGTTGTAACTCAAGAGCTTCATGGCAAGCGTGGAAGGACGACAGGCAAAGGCTTTGTCGTTGATGGTTAAGCACTCTTTGGCAGTTTCATGGTCGCTGACAATCAAAGCTCTGTGAACACCCATCTTGATGGTGAAGATTGGCCCGTGTTTATCAGCCATTTCGCTGAGGATTATGTGGGCTGATTTGGGTCCTCTTAGGAGGTGGAGATGGCCGATTACAGGCCATGAATTTCCAGCTTCTGGTGCTTCCCCCTTTCTCTTCAACACCTTCAAAGTGTTCTTGAATATCCATATAAACGAAGAAAGAAAGATTATTGAAGCGAAAATGGTTGAAGTTGATGAAAGTGAATGAAAAATATCCATCTCATAGGTGAGGTTCTGTTTCGAGAAATCTTTAAGGAAGGATTCAGTAATGGAAGCTAAATATAGAAAAAAAATACAGTTAAGGCTGAAAATGATGGCGAATCTACCTACATATACAATTTAAAAATCATTTATAAATGTAATATTTTTTTATAATCACTCTAATATAATCTATTGATCGACTAATCTATATCGAATATAGTAGAGGCAATAGCAACTATCTCAGTCCATAATCTTTTATTCCCTTCTCCTCTACGTAGAATTATAATTATATTTAAAATTTGTCAAAAATAAAAAAATTAAAATCATTTAAAGAAATAATATTTTTTAATTATTAATTGATATAGTAACTTGTTAATATTAATGACAAAAAATAATATAGTAACTTGTTAATATTATGAAGTGAAGCCTGGGGATGACGTGAACGACATACTTTAGAGCCAGCTCGATCGAATGGCTGACGAAGGAGATTGATGAGGTGAAAGTCGAAGGGTCTTCAACTTATTTGACAGAACTACAAGCCGATTCACGAGAAACGGTGGTCCAATCTAGAATCCCGACATCGAGGCGAACCTTCGTTGGAATTTTGGTGTCTAACGGCCACCGAATATGGCGGCCGGCACGGTAGCGAGGCGGTGGTCGGTGGCGGAGTTTTTCCCCGGTTTCACGAAGGTATAGAGTGTGTTGAGAGACTTCAAGTTTTTTTTTTTTTTAAAAAAAAGCTTTAGGGTGAAAATGTTTTAAAACAAAAAATGGTAGATTAGATACTAGGACATTAATCGAACAACAGTCCCCAAACGTTTTCCGCATATTTACATGTTGGTCTCTAATTATGATTTGTTTCTAATTCATTTCGAACACAAAGCACTAATTGAGTAATTTTTCATTTTTCTGTTGTTAGTTATTTAAGCTTATAATTTTGTGGGTAAATTATGTTTAAACCATTAGATATTTCTCGTGTTTTTCTATTTTGGTCCATGCTTTCATTTTTTATTTTTGATTTCAATGTACTAATTTGTTTTTATTTCATTTCAGTCACTATTTGCCCATTATTGTGTTTTGGTTCAATTTGAGATTTTAATTGGTAAATTGTAACTTGCTCTATTCTAGTCCTATGTGTTTATATGCTGAGATGTGTTAGATTTATCCCTAGGTCCTTAGATTTAATTTTTTTTGTTTTGGCCACTGCCTTAACATGTTCATTATACAAAATAGTATGGATTAATATCTCATTTGCCTCACGTTTTTTTTTATTTTGGTCATATGTAAAGACTATTTCATTTTTAATTTAATTTTTTCAGTCTGATTTTGTAATTGTACAAAATTTTCATGTTAGGTTTAATAATTTGGAATAATTAAGTTTTAGCCCCTCTAGTTTAGGCACATTTTTACATTTAGGTCACTATTTAATTATTGAAATTGCAAGTTTAATTTTAAATTATTCTTAATTTGGTACCTATACTTTACATTCTTTTTTAATATGCTATTTATTTAATGTATATTATTTATTAAAAATCAAGGTAATGTATTTATATGAGGAATCTATGAGAAAATCTCTCGACTACAAGGGAAGTGTGTTTCAAGGATTATTCGTATAAAATAGTTCCTTTTTAAGTGGATCATAATTTAAAATATTGGTTTACATTTACAATTCTCAAATACAAAGACGACGTAGAATCAATTTGGTATCAATTATGGGCACTGTGGAGGTGTTTACGCTTTCCCACGTGTAATCGACTCCCAAACCTCGTTCTGAAATGAATTTTTGGTTCAACATAAACGGGATTAAAATTTATTTCCCTAAACCCTAAGTTTTAAAAATTAAGTTAATCCAATCACATTCTAACTGGTCAAAAAACTTAAAGGATCGTTACAATAGTATACAACCAAAAAAAATAGAAATATAATTTGAAAAGTAAAGAATATGCTAGAAAAATTCAGTAATGCCATAAATGTCATTACAAATGATTGTGATTTGTGAGGGTCCGAGTTATATGATATGACGGGGTGGTCAATGAAAATTTATTTTATGATCTTAATTTATCACGTCATCTCATCTATGATTTCAATAAATTGTATTTATTAATTTTAAAATATTTTTAAATAATTAATCACTTTTTATTTACATCAAGATATAATTAATCACTAAAATAATTTTTCGTGACCAGGTTGTTTATCGACAGCTCACTCTGTGTGGGTTTAAATGTACGGTATGTGTGAATATATTTTTTAAAACTAGCTTTTAAAATGGTAAAAGTGTTTGAATAATGCAATGGAAAAAAATTATTCGCATAGTGCAGTCGAATAATTATTTGCTTAAGTAGGGTGATTGCTACAGTGACCTCCATAGATCTCCAAGAGTATATGGCGACCTCTATAGGTCTCCAGGAGCACACGACGACCTCCATGGTCGCATGCGAGAGAAGAGCTGCAACAGCGAGGGAAGAGAAGAGTTAAGAGTTGCTGCAAAAGAAGAGGCTTTGTCGCAAGGAGCACTTGACAACTAATGAGGTCACTGTAACGAACACCCCAATTCAAGAAATAATTTGATTAGAACCCTATATGAGAATTTTTTTTCCAACGCCCTACATGGACGTGGAAGCCCTTTTAAAAGAGTGAGAAACCACCTTTTAAAAAACTTCAAAATATTACGATAAATTACACTCAACATTGTTTAATTATAGATTCCGAACACTAACATTTATGGAATAGTACATTATAAATAATTTAAAAAAATTCAGACACTATAATTATAATTATTTTAAATTATTTAAAAAGAAATTATAGATTTAATAATAAATATATTATTTTCAAAAGTTATAAATAAACTATTTAAATAAAAATATTATTGTAAACATGAATCATTAAAATTGAAATGGACGTATAATGTGGTCGGATAAAATAATATTTTGTCTCTAAATCTTATACATTCTAATAATTTTGTCATAATTCAAAATAATTGGATAAATTTAATTTTTCATATCGAAAAATTATATATATTTAATATTTTATTTAGACACTGTCAAAATAAACGAGCCCGTCGAATCAAAATAACAATTAGATATCTAAATTCTACCATGAAGTAATAAATTTATATTAAACTATTGTTATTCTAAAAAAGTAACATGAAAGTAATATAACAAACATGGGAAAAAAATTAATTTATGAGAAGAACAAAGACTAAAACGTGAAATTTTTAAATATGAAGAATTAGGTTTATTGATTTTTTTGACTAAATTAATAAATTGTTTAAATTTTGAGGATTAAAAATTGTTGAATAATCGGGTAAAGAAAACAGAAAGAACACAATAATTTTAACAAGGTTCAGCAATGTGCTTACGTCCTCGGTGTCTTAGGCGGCGCTAGAATTTTTATTCAATTCAATGTCTCACATGTTTAGGTTACATCTCCTTTCAGATACATATTTACAAAAAATAACCCTGTACCATACCGCGGGGCCGTAGCCCCCACACCCTCAACCCACATAATCATAACCCCCTCTACGAGACTTTACCGGTATATTTATGAGTCATACCTAACAAATCTCCACCTTGACGAATATTCTACCCCTTAGGAAACTAGGAAACATTCAATGTGGGTTGGGTTACCTTACTTCTTTAACAACTCGAAACATTCAACAAGTCCAAGCAATGCATGAGCTTGTCTGTCCTAACTGGCTTGGTGAACATATCAGCGACATTCTCATTAGTATGTACCTTCAGAAACAAAATCTCTCCAGATGCAACCAACTCTCTGATCTTGTGAAATCTTACATCACTATGCTTAGTTCTAGCTCGATATACATGATTCTTAGTCAGTGAATGATACTTTGATTGTCACAAAGTAATTGAACTCCACCTTGCTGAACACCCAACTCCTTCACTAAACCAGTATGCCATAAAGCTTCTTTTGCAGCTTCAGCCGCTGCCATGTATTCAACTTCAGTTGTAGATAATGCCACAACATATTGAACAGTAGACTTCCAACAAATAGGCCCTCCACCAAGAGTAAAGACATACCCTGTCGTAGATCTTCTATTATCCAAATCACCTGCATAGTCTGAATCTACATATCCTACAACCAAAGGATTATCCCGCTGACTACAAAACAATTCCATGTCCCACAATACCCTTTAAGTACCTAAAGATCCACTTTAATGCTTCCTAATGTTGCTTACCAAGTTTAGACATGTACTTATAAACTTGACTAACAACATGAGCTAAATCAGGACGAGTACATACCATTACATACATCAAGCAGCCAATAACATTAGAATATGGAACCTTTTCCATATCTCCAGCTTCCTTATTTGTCTTAGGGCACTGTTCCGATGAGAGCTTAAAGTGATTCGCCAATGGAGTGCTCACTGGTTTTGCGCTGCTCATCGCAAACATTTCTAGCATTTTCTCAACATAACCCTGTTGAGATAGCCACGGTTTCCTTGAGTCTATTTTCCTGCAAATTTCCATTCCAAGAATTTTCTTTGCAGCACCTAAATCTTTCATATCAAATTCCTGACTCAATAAAGTTTTCAAACCGATAACATCATCCATGTTCTTCGCAGCAATTAACATATCATCAACATACAGTAATAAAAAATAAAAGAACCATCATCAAGGCTTTTAACATAGACACAACAATCATACTCACATCGCTTGTAGCCAATCTTGATCATATAGGAGTCAAACCGTTTGTACAATTGTCTCGGAGACTGTTTCAACCCGTACAAAGATTTCTTCAATCTGTAAACTAAATGCTCATTTCCAGGTTGAGTGAAACCTTCAGGCTGCTGCATGTAGATTTGCTCCTCTAAATCACCATGCAAAAAAATAGTTTTAACATCCATATGCTCTAAATGTAAATCGCAACTAGCCACCAATGCAAGTACTGCTCGGATTGAAGTGTGCCTGACCACAGGAGAAAAAATTTCATCATAATCAACTCCTTTCTGCTTTGAAAAAACCCTTTTCTACCAAACGAGCCTTTAACTTCTCCCCATTTTTTTCTGTTACTGC